TTTTTTTTTTTTTTTTGAGACAAAGGTTTTACTATGTACTTCAGATTAGCCTTGAACTCACTATGTAGCCGACTATGCCTGACATATTTTTTTGTGGAACCAGGGATTGAACTCAGGCCCTTGTGCTTGCCAGGGAAGCACTTATTCTACTGAGCCATCTCCCCGGCCCCAATGCTGGTTTCATTTTACATTCTCTTAAAGACTGTTATTCATTTTGATGGAAAACTGCATATTTAGAAGAGAATATCTTTTAATGTAAAATAAATGTTACACATTTGTTGTCTTCTAAATTCTAAGTGGGCAGGAATCATAACTTTTCATTTTTTTCCAAATTTTCCATAACCAAAGCTTCAACAAATACTTGATCAGATTATAGACTTCTGCATGACTAAGATTGCTCATTCATTCATTCATTCATTCATTCATGATGTAATTTTATGACTTTACTTCCAGTAAACATATGTTGCTCATCTTCTGCTTACTTGTGGTTTTAAAAATGTAAAAATAAAACAAACAGGGGACTGGGGAAATGGCTCAGTAGAATAAGCACTTCCCTGGCAAGTGCAAGGGTCTGAGTTCAATCCCTGGTTCTGCAAAAAAATGAATAAAACAAACAAAAAGGTGACACCATGCTTCCAGGCACACACAGGTGAAAAGATGGCCTCATAAATATGCAAATATAAAGTGCATTTTATTTTAAAATATGATAATTAAGTTACCTAGAAACAGACACACAGTTGAAGTCCACAGGCAGAAGAGAGTCATTCCAGCAAAGGAAGCGGACTGTAGGGTTTTGCAGGGAGTGGGGTTTTGGAGGAAAAGTTAGGTACTAACAGTAGTGACAGAAAATGTTACTCTGAATGGAAAGGAAAATAGAGTCTACTTTAGGTGGAATGCAATGCAGCTCCGAAGAGAGTCCCTGCAGGCCCCAGGCCTGTCCTCTCCTCCCTATGGATTCTCTCTCAGCCAGGCATTAAGTGTTGTGTCTCTTCCGCAGTGTGGCTCAGTGGGGAGGCCCCCCACAGCTGGGATGCTTATTTTCCCATGGAGATCATGTTTTGGCCGTGAATGGAATGAAGCCCCAGAGCCTGGAAGAGGTGTCCTTGTTTCTCACCAGGTCTATTCAGAAAGAGGTGAGTCCTACTGACCAGCCCTGGCCAAGATCAAAGTCTTGGAATGAGTCTTCTAAAAAGTGCTGAGAATACAAATGAAGTTCTTCCCTTTCATATAAAGCAGCATTTGACACAATCACTAGTCTGGTGACTCGGTACTGGGTTCAGGACCTCAAGAGCAGTTCACAATGGCAAAAGAACTTAGATGGAATCTGTTTGGCTCAAGAATTGAAAAAACAATGTTTGACCAATTTTTTTTCCATTTCCTCTAATTCTGTAAGATTAAGGTAATTACAGGGCCAGTTGTTGGAGAGTTCAAGAATATGTTCTAATGTGCTTAAAACAGTGACTGGCACATATAAGGAGTTCAATCTAGTTACAGTTATTTTTATCTCTACTTCATTGGCCATGGAGTGGTGGACAGATTCACCCTTTTAAGCCCTAAGCTTTATTCACCTCAGAAATCCACATCAAGGGGCCGGGGAGATGGCTTAGAAAAGCGCTTGCCTGGCAAGCATGAGGGCCTGAGTTCACCAGTTCGACCAAAGGAAAAAAAAAAGAAGAAGAAAGAAAAGAAAAGAAATCAACATCACTTTATTTTTCCATATGAGCTTATTATAAGAACTAAACATAACACATGCATATTTTCAAAAGATTGACCTAATTTTTTAATTTTAATTTTTATTTGTACACATTTGGAGGACATAATGAATATATTCATCCTAAGGAGTTCATACATGTTCACAACAACACATCTTAATCTTTTTACAACCTCTTTGCTGGGCTAGCTTATCTTTAAATGGTCTTATCTATTGCTACAGTTGTCATATAACTCATTCCTTCCTAGCTGACTTTTAGTTCTAAGTAGCCCTCCGACCTTGGTAAAGCCACGTTCTTCTCTGAGTCTAAGTTTCTTCTAAAGGAGAGGATTGGTTTTCAAACTGTACTTACTGGGCTTGTAGGATGAGTAGGAGGAGAGGAATGGGACAGCATGCTGGGGCTTCACTAAGAAAAGCTCCACATTTAAAGTTTCTTTTTTATAAACCAGGTAAGTCTGACATACTGTCCTATTGGCTTTCCTTAAAACCAGTTTCCTGATTTGAAATTTCTAGAAACAATACCAGATAATTTCTCTTCCGCCTCTGAGCATTCATGATTATGTAACACGTGTATATTAAATAATGTGTTATCTCTTCTACATCACACAAACCTGACTGGGTAGAGAAATTACACAATGCCACTATCCAAATTGAGAGACCCAGCAAGGCTGAGCAAGTTGCATGTCATATAAGCAGTTAATGGCAGAGCAAAGGCACAGTCATTCATCTACTCACTATTTATTCGACATCATTATATATGTGTTACTACGTTATGTTCTAAGGATACAAAAGTGACTCCAGTTAAAACCTAAAGAGCTCACAGATCAGTGGATTAAAGCAAGTGTGTTTTATGTTGATTACAATGCAGTGTGTCGGAGACATGAGAAGAAGGATGGAATGAATGTGCTTGAGGGACATCAGATAGTTGTCTCAGAGGACCTGGCACTTAGCTTGGGAGTCGCAAGGTAGACAGAAGATCGTGTCGGGGAAAAAAGATAGTTTTCAGGGAGCCCGTCCAATGTTTTGGTAACTGTAGTACATTGCCACTGCCAGAAATCCACAGTGGGGCCCTCACATTCTCCTTCCTTGGGGTCCTCACATTCTCCTTCCTTGTCTCTGGAACACAATACTCAACACCCACAACTTAAAAGAAGAGAGGTTTATTTGGGCTCCCATTTTTATTTTGTAGTTGGCTGGTTCCAAAGCAGAAATGGCACGTCAGAGGGGGCACAGGGAAGAAAAGCCTTATGGCAACCAGGAGTCAGAGAAAGAAGGGAACAGCCAGGGAGGGAGCTCAGCCCTGCCAGTCATGTACCCACTTACCCACCTCTTCTAGCTGATCCTTCCCCATAACAGTGCATCCAACTCCTGAACTCAGTAGTCAATGATTCTGCCAAGATTCTCCCAGAATCCAACCATCCTTCCAAAAGCCCTGCCTCTGAGAACATGAGATTTCTGGGGAACATTCCAGAACCCAACCCTGGCTCCCAAAATACTCACATGCAGCTCATTCTGCAAAACACATTTAGTCCATCTATGAGTCACCAAAATGTTAACAGCTCTAGTATTACCGAAAGTACAAGTCTGAAGTCTCTTCTGAGGCTCAAGGCAAACTCTTAGCTGCAAGCCTCTGTAATTTTTTTTTATTTTTTTATTTTTTATTTATTTATTTTTTTTTTTCAGTCTTTGTGCAAAATTTATTAAATGTCTCCACACAGCAGTATTTTCAGATACTGCTGCCAGGAACAACCTGTTAGGCAGTAGGGACCGGCTGGGGCATGGCAGGCGGCTCTGGTTTCCCACCCTTCTGCTCCGAGATGGGAGTGGTGGGCAGGATCTCATCTTTGGGTTCCACAATGCTCACATGGTCAGGAAGCGGCTTCTTGGGGCCAATCTTACCACTTGGATCCCAGGGCAGCATGATCTTTACTTTGATACCCAGCACACCCTGTCTGAGTAGCACGTGCCGCACAGCAGTGTCAACATAGTAATTGACAGGGTCCCCACTGTGGATCATCAGGCCATCCACAAACTTCATGGACTTAGCCCGCTGTCCGCGGAGTTTCCCAGACACCATGACCTCAGCCCTTGGCTCCGCTCTCCATGATGAACCGCAGCACACCATAGCAGGCCCTCCGCACAGCAAGCCCTCCTAGGAGTTTGTAACGCAGAGATTCCGCCTGGGCAATGGCACAGAGACCTCTCGTTGCCACCTTTTCAGCATAAAGCTCTACACTGCCCTCAGGGAAGCCAAACCTCTTCTGCACGACAGCAGTCAACTCGCGGATCCTCCGGCCCTTCTCACCAAGAACATTCTGTGTCCTGGTGGCCAAAATGATGATTTCTGTCCTGGTGGGTGTAACTCTGACTTCAACGCCAGAGTAGCCATCTTCAGCCAGCTCCCTAGTGAGGAACTCATTCAGTTCAGCTTTGAAGATGCCGTCAGCGACAAACTTCCTCTTCTTAGAGATCTGTACCGCCATCTTTCCACTGCGCGCCTCCGAAGGGAAAGCTGTAATTTTTTTTTAATGAAGTGAAAAATTGCCAACATACCATGACTCCAAGTGAACATTCCTGTTCCAAAAGGGAAAAATAAAAAAGAATGGTACAAAAGAAGGTCAAAACCAAGCAGGGCAAACAAATCCAGTAATGCTGTGTCCAGTAGCTAAGGAAGGTTTTGGCAGGTTGTAATCCCTAGAGGGCTTGGATGGCTCTACCTTTATGGCTTTAATGGTTGTGGTCCTCGTGGCTTATACCTCAGGATAGTTTTGTTCACTGCCTGTGGCTTTCCTTAGGAGGTGTTCTATGTTCCTTGTTTTTCCTCTTCCTGGACGCTCTTCTGCTTCACTTTCACAGCTTCATCTACTTCAGAGTCACAGTACCCTTCATTCTCTGACTCCTGGCTGCCATAAGGCTTTTCTCCCCTGTGCCCCCTCTGATGTGCCATTTCTGCCTTGGAGTTCTCCTAGGCTTCCCCTAAAATCTAGGTGGAAGCCTTTCTGACCCCACAACGCTTGCATTCTGCATATCCACAAAACTAGCACCAGTCAGATGACACCAAACATTTGTTGCCAACTCAAGCCGTAGCCAGACCCTCCTGGATCATGGCCTATACAGGCCTCCATGTGCCTGGACTGCTGAGTACTGGGAACTGAGTTCTGGGAACCAATTCCATAGGTATCGCTTCTGGAGCACAGTGCCCTGAGGGTCTCTTCTCAAAGCAAAGTGTTTCACTTTTGCACTCTTGGCAAAGGGCTTGGTCATGTTGATTCTTGAGCTACCCTTAAGACATGCTTCTTATCTTCTTGCCTCAAAACACTTGGCTTCTATCAAATACTAATCATTTTAGCTACCAAGTTCTCATCTGCTCCAACATAGCAGGCTTCCATTCTGGAAAATTAGAGAAAAAGAAGGGCTGCAAGGTCAGCCAGCATTTTGGCCCTAGCCTTTCAAGGTCAGTGAAGACTCAGGACACAGGAGAATCAGTACTGTAACGTCATGTAACTCAGTTGTGTCCCAAATTTTCTGATCAAGGAGATTATGGGGCCATAGAGGAAAGTGATCAATGATGTAGAGTGTGCCTAAGGAGAGTCACATGAAAATAAAACATTTCCTCAGGCTTTCACAGTAAGCAAATTGGTCAAGCAGTGGTCATGACTCATCCACATGGCTGACACTGACAAAGTTCTACAAACTGCGGTACAGGGTTTCAGGGTAAATCCTGAGGGGATTTGACTGACCTTGTCAGATAAAAAGTTACATTTCTTGTTATATAGGTCTTGCTTTATCCTGTTCTTAAACATCCAGCAGAAAAGTATAAAGCAAGGTATATAAAGTAACACCATATTAATATAATGAGCTGTAAAAGGCTCAAGTCAATAACTTCTGAGGATAACCCATTACTATTATAGACTTCTAGACAGTGTTGGATTGTTTTACTGAATTCAAGTACCTGTATTATTTAGATGCCAATAGGATACCCACCCCTGACAGGACTAAACAAAAAAAGGGGATACAAAGGAAGAACATTTTGTATTTGTATATACAAAATAGTTAGGCCAGATATACAGCTACTTTCACTTAATTCAATGAGAAGAAAGAAGTGTACTAACAGTGTTTGGACAGAATATCCTGTCTGCTTCTTGTACTATGGATAACCACTAAGACAATAACAATGTACAATATATTAATTATTGAAACTATCCTATTTATCAACTTTGAAACTGTCTCATTCATATTTATTTCTCAATAAAATAAAATTAAAATTAAATTAAATAAGGAAAAAAATTTAAAAATAAAATTTCTCCCACTGTATTAATTAGTCTGCTTCCCTTAGTCTCAGTCCACAAAGTCTCAGGACATGAACAGAACATGGACAAATTTTCTGCTACAGCATAACATACATGGCCTGAGGCTTTGTTCCCAACTGAAACCCCCTGAGCCTAGTGTTTGCCATCTGAATTTCTATTAGCATTCTGAAACATCTGTAGTCTATTTTTCCAAACTTTGCCAAACTTCTCCCATGAACCAGTCCAAATGTTTCTAAGCCACACAATTGAGTAGTCACAGCCATGACCCCACTTCTGGTACCAGAACCTGTCTTAATCACTTTCCTCATCACTGAGACATGATATCTAACATCCACAACTTAAAGGAGAAGAAGTTTATTTTGACTTATGTTTTAAATCTCTGGTTGGCTAACACCAGCAGAAACAGCATGGCAGATGAGCATACCAGAAATAACTACTCATGTCAAGGCAAATAAGAGGCAAATAATAAAGGAAAGCGCTCACAAGGTCATGCCCTCCAGTGACCCACCTCTTTTAACTGATCTCTCCTAACAGCACACTCAGTCATTGAACCCACCAGTGGATTGAATCTACTGTTGAATACAGTGCTCTATGATCCAACCACTCTCTGCCTCTAAGTGCAAGAGAGTCTTGAGGGACATTCCAGATCTAAACCACAATAGGGGCCAGGTGGGCAAGAGAACCTTGTACCCTTTGGAAAGTAACCAAACAATATTCAGACACAAAGTGCCAGGCACTGGTTAAAAGACCAAGAAAAGAGTTTTGGGCTGAGAGCAGATCCCACAATCCTGCCAGCCATCACTGCGTCCCCTTGGTCATGCTCTCCTTTCTATACCAGAAGTGACAGGTGGAAGACACCAGAATTTCTCTTGTACTCATTCTGTCTTCCTCCTTCTGTTTGTTAATGGCTCCTAGATGCTATTGAGGACTGCGAAGTGTCCACTAACATGACTACCTAGAAGATCCAAAGATTCTCCCTCATTCCCTCCATTCCTGATCTTTTTCTTTTATATAAGAGTGGATATCTCCTCTTTAAATCCAAATACCTGGTCCCCTGAAGGAAAAAGATTGTTGAAAAAGGGAGAGGTGGCCCCAAAGGAGGAAGAACAGTGGCCCTTAATGTTTTAAAGCACATGAGCCAATCAGGTCTACTTTTCCTCCAGTCAGGATATAGTTCAGAGAGATGGGAAGTTGGGGTAGCAATTGGATAGGACAGCAAGGGAAAGAGTATAAGATTTTTTTAAGGCAGGTTAGGCAGTGGGTTTGGAGAGTGGGAGGATATACTGGATTGTGAGAGAAAAATCACTGACCTTTGATTTCTTTCCAGTTTTGTCTGGGTCTGAGTCCTTTCTAATGGTCTTATTTTGATTCACTGGTCTCAGAAGACTTTTTACATTCTTGGTGCTGCTGGGCCCCTCTGGATACTATTGGTGCTCTGTGCAGTCTACCCTAGAGGCTCAGGCCATTAACCAGGTGCCAGAGAGTAAAAATCCATCTTCTACCAGAATATCTAAGTCATTAAGGCATGTTCAGTCTCCTCTGGCCCATTGCAGTTCATCTCAGGATTTTCTTCAGAATCAACTTCAGTGGTGTGAAGGAGGACAGATTGAGAACCTGGAATCCTAAAAATAATCTTCACTCATTTTAGGTTTTTTTTCTTTCTTTCTTGCATTTTAGAAAGTAAAACTCACCATAGGCCGGATCCAAAATTCAGAGAAATTCCACGCTATGTCCTGTACATGTTCCTTAAAAAATCAAGGAGATGTACCTGTTCCGAGGGATGAGTCTGAGCTGGAGAAGACACTGCCAAAGAGGAGCCCAGCATTTAAGAAGGTCCAGAGGAAGGGAGCTGGAGAGTAGCCAGCCTGCTGCGGGTCCCTGGCAGCAGGAGGAGAATGGAGCCCTGGTGCGACCTGGGCTCTGCTATTCACAGACTTGCGACGTAAAACAAGCTCACACACCTCTCTAAGTCACTGTATCTGCATCTTAACAACGGGGCTGACTATCCCCTCTCTGGCCACTGCATCAGGGATGCTGAAAAGGTCCAGTGGGACAGTGAGTAGGGGTCACAGTGAAGACGGAAGGCCTTATTATCTGAGACTGTCCCACACAGCACAGGCATGGGTTGGGTAAGTCCTTCATCGAAGTAAGACACAGTGTACTCTGTGAGGTCATGGTCTATATAATCATTTTTTTGTTAAGAAACAAACACTTGAAACCCGTCACTCCAGGAAGGCAAGATTCCCAGAAAGATGTGAGACCACTAGGCCTGCCCAAACATGTCCTGTGACCATTCAACCCCCAGAATCTAGAACACAAGGGCAGGATTGGCCTCTTGGATTTAAAGCATCTCTTTTCTTAAAGACCTAGTAACTATTTTAGAAGTTGAAGCAGTTGTAGGATTTAAATCCATGGTTGATTTTCTTATTTCACAAATTAAAAGAGAACTACTTAGTACTTCTAAGTTGGAATATTCTTAGTTTATTGATGCCTGAATAAATTGACCCTGGAAGGTCAAATGAATCGAATGGTTTTTCATAAATAGGAAGCCAAAGGCACTAAAACACTAATCAAATTGAGGAAGGTTAAAGAAAAGGAGATCTTGGAAAGTCTGTCTTACTTGGTTTGTTATTTCACATGGAAGAAACCAAGGCCTAGAATGGTGGCTGATGTGCCCTCTGCGTGGTTACGGCTTTCACAGGTGTTCAGTAGCAAAGCCAAGAGCCTAAATCAGCTCTGGAAAGCAGCTGACCTTCAATTTCAATTAGAAAGGAGCTTCAGGGCCAGCCAAATAGCTCAGCGGATTAAAGTGCCTGCAAGCAGGCGCAGGGGCCGGGGTTTCGATCCCTGGGCCTGCTGTGCTGCCCCCGCCCCTGGGGTGCGCTGACATGATGACTGAGACTGGGCGCGGTGGTGCACGCCTGCATCCCAGCTCTTGGGAGGCTGCAAACAAGCAGATCACTATGAGTCCGATCTAGTAGTGAGACCCTGAACACCCTGTAGACCCTTCCCTAAAATACAAAAAGAAAGAAAAGAAAGAAAGAAAGAAAGAAAGAAAGAAAGAAAGAAAGAAAGAAAGAAAGAAAGAAAGAAAGAGCTTCAGCACTTACAAGAGACATTCAAACATATCTCATTTTCTGTTTTCCAGGAAGCATAAAATGTTCTCATTTATATGGAGTGTTTTACCTACTGTTTCTATTTCTAGAGTTGTGCCCTAGAGTAATATACAAACACACAATGATGTCTCTAGAAACCAAAATGTCTAGTAGCACACCTTAGCACTGTTTGAAATAATGCAAAAGTCATTTGGGGGATTACGTAATTATTTCATCACATGGACCAGGGCAGACGTTAAAAAGTTTGGCCTATATAATTGTGGGTAATGCTCATAAAATATTAAGGATGAAAGGAGCAGACTGAAGTATAGTAGGTGTAATATTGATCCATGTTTGTAAAAATAAGCTTTGGAGCTCTGTGTAGATAATGCACATAAAATCTCCTCAGCCCTGGTCAGGGGTGAGTCGCCTACCCCCTGGGGAGGTTGCAAGACTGCACCTTGGTACATTTCCTCCCTCCTCAACACTCCATCAAGCACTATGCTGCTGCTGCTATCTCTGCCATGCCTTTTTGTCATTTTTGTTTAAGTTAAGAATAACCCACATTCACTTGTCAATAAGAATTATTCAGAGAAGTATGATCAGGATTGGTCCTGGGGCAGAAGATTTTCTGTAATGTTTGAATTTGTATTTCTCTTTATCATGAGCATATGTTGCTTTTGAAATGAAAAAAATATATGCAAGTGTGGAAAAGAAATAAATATACATATGTGTATTTATTAAACATTTGTCAGTCAGAAATCAAGCCACCTCAGTAAAGAAAATAAGAAAACCAGGAAGGGGAAAACACCTGGCAACCAGCAATGTTGGTAAACACAGGGATCTGAAGCCTGAAGACCTTGCATTTGGTTTACTCAAGAAAGCCTTCCTGAAATGCTAAAATGAAATAAAGGAACAAACTTTAGCTGCCAGGGGCCTTCGCTCCTGCTACAGCACAGAGAAGCCTGAGGACTAAAGACTTCATTGTCCCCCTGGCTCAGAGAAGCGGTGCGACAGACACACAGAATCCTGGCCCTTCCCAACACCATCTGGAGAGAGCAGCCAGCCTGTTCCTCTCCCTCTCTAATCCCAGCAAAACCAGACAGGTTTATGAGGACCTGCTCTGGGGCTTCTCTCACGTGAGAGGTTTGCTCTTGAAAGGGTATCTCAGGGAAGAGTCTAAGATCCTGATATGGATGGGCCCAGGGTCTGCACTCTGATGACATTCCCGGGGGATCTGAATGCTGGCTGACCAAGGAGCACTCATGTTGGTGAAGCATCTCGGTGGCCAGCTTGGAGGGTTAGTTCCCAGGGAGGATACCAAACATGAAGTGCACACATGGGCATGCCTGAGGGGAGAGGCCCATTCCTCATTGCTTCCCCTGCCCAGAGCTGGAGACAGCTCTGGGACTGAATCTAGGTTCTTTCTGCCTCTTAACAGTGGTAGTGCCTCAAAGAGTGTGCCTGGCCAAACTGGTCCAAAACTTTGGGAACCAAACTGTTGTCCCAGAGCCCAACTTTAAGGGTCCTGTTCAGCTGCACAGCTAAGAGTACTGAAAGATATCCTACTCAGAAACAAGAGAGTTCTCCAGCCCAGGGCAGAAAAAGGCCCTGTGGCATACAATGTCAACAGAGTGAAGAGAATGCCATAAACCCCTGTCCCACTCTGCTGCCCACCAGCACATGCGCAGCCAGCCTCAGGGCCTCTTCCCTTCCAGAGTGGCCCTGGACGCTCACCCCAGCTCCATTCCAAGTGGGTGAACATGGGCTGCACACTGCAGGAAGGTCAGCCCAAATGTCCTAGGAGGGGTGGCCCTCTTCTGGGCCTGTTACTGAAAGAAAGAAGGGAATGAGAATGGACTGTGTTCATTGGTCATTCTTGGCCAACACACTGCTGGCTTGGATACTATCAAAGTCCTCTTCGATCTTGCTGGAGGAGATGCTGGAGCTCAGGAACATGGAGAGAGGCCTGGGCTTCCCAGCTGCATGCCAGCCTGGGGCTCCCAGGCCAACAGTCTTCTTAGTACTTGCAAGAGTGTTCAGCAGGCTGTTTGGAGGTGCCACCGTCTGGGCTGCTCCTGCTTCCTAGCAGGTTCCTGTGTCTCCAGGCAGGCCTTGGAGGGAGTCTGTAGGTGTCTTCTGTGTTCGCTGCTCAGGATGTAGCCTATTCAGAGAGAGCTAAAAAGCTCAGACAGGGAATGAATGCACAGGGGGAGCCAAGCACGCCCATCCTTATTTACACTGTGAGCAAGCCACATGCTCTCCAGGGCGGCATTCTAGAGGTAGAGAATGCACCACCACATGTTTGCATGTATGTACGCAGGTGTATAAACATGTATGTCAGAGGTCAATTAAAAGACAATGGGGAGACAGCTATTCTCTAATAAAATGAGAAGCTGGAGAACCACAGTGACCTGCCCCACCTTTTTCTTTTTAGGCCATGCGCCAAATGACTTGCCCTTGGGATGATAAGAATTTAAAGTATCATAAACAGACATGGAGAAGGGCTTCAGATTGAGCCGTAGTAGATCAGGGTTCTTTGTCACATTGGACTTGAGGATACGCAAGAAATGTGTTTTATTGAGCAAGCTCTTTAAAATGTCTGCATTAGTAATCACATCTGGTAGGATCTTAGGGCCTTTCTCCAAAGCAGCCCTGGCCAGTTGGTTTGGGGAGCCAGGTTTTTAAGCAGACCAGAATACAGCACAGATCTCACACTGAGCTGCCTGATGCAGTGGCTTTCTTTATCATGACTGCCTTCAAGTCTTGAACTGGTTCAAAATGTTTATCTTTGAGTGTCATTTAGACTTTAGGGGAAGAGCCAGCATCAAACAGTGCCAGGCCTGGTTAACAAGATAGATGAAGACATACTGGAATGTTTTTATGAGTCTGTCTTTCTATTGGATACCATTTGACAGTAACATTCACTATGTTTTTGGTCATACCTCATAAAGACTCTCACAAAAGAGGACTTCCAGACTTGCTTCAGAAAGTGGCCAGAACAATAGGATAAGTGTGTTTGAAAGGAGGGGAAATATTTTTTTGGGGGGGTGGGGGTCATGGCAATGTAATGAATTGAAGCTTTTTAAAAATCGTTTTTTAAATTAAGCATTCACTGTAGTTCTTGATCACTCCTTGAAATATTTACCACACTAAGCACACACTGCACTCACCAAAACAGGTTGACTATTGCTTATCTGAAATACATGGATCCAGAAATGTTTCAGATTTCAGATTGGGTGGCATTTGGGAATATTTGCATATGCATAATGAGATCTCCGGGGGATGGGACACAATTTGGAAACATAAAATTCAACTGTGTTGCCTAGAGCCTCCCTTAATTTTACATTTTTAATAGTTTCGTGCATGAAACAAAATTTCAGGGCATAGAATTTCAATGTGTGGCTTCGTTCCAGCCCTTGAAAATTTCCATATTATGGAGCATTTAAGATTTTCTATTTTCAAATTACGGATTCTTAACTTCTCTTCCCTAAGGAGTAGAGTTGGGGAGAATTATTTTCTCCCCTGCTGGGGAATTCTGCACTGCTTCTGTTCATGCTGTGGGCTGGGGAGGCAAACGCTCTAGCTCGTTGGGAGGCGCACAGCAAGCCAATGGGCAGCAAGCGTGAGCGCAAAGGCTTCACCTCAAAGACGCCCATGGTTTTTTTTTTTTTGACGGGTTTACATTTTATTGGAAATGTTACATACTCTTCAGACACACAGTATGTCTTCAATTGAGGCTCTTGTACAGTCTACACAGAAACTGGTTTCAGGGTTACCAGCAAAGTGAAGGGCAGGACAGACGAGGGCTTATTCTGGCAGGAGGCTCTCAGGACGCATGCTCTTGGGCCAGTTTGTCAGCTTTTGCTACAGCTTCTTCAGTGGGTCCCACCATGTAAAAGGCCTGTTCTGGGAGAAGCTCATAGTCGCCTGCCAAAATCTGCTGGAATCCTTTGATGGTCTCCTTCAGGGGTACCAGTCTCCCCATATGCCCTGTGAAGACCTCAGCAAGCTGGAATGGCCGAGACATGAAACGCTGTATTTTCCGTGCTTGGGACACAGTCAGCTTGAAAGACGCCATTTTTACCACAGACACCCTGTGACACTCGTCGGGGGCTCAGTTGCTTTAGTGTGTGGTGTGGTGGTTGGAAAAGGTATTGTCACTGGCTTGTGTCTTGGTTCTCAAGTGTCTCATAAATAGGTAAGACCACTAGTGACGTAACTGAGTTGAGTAAAAATTACTGTTTAATCAAAATGAGAGAATAATCAACTACCAAACTCTGGGTGACAAAGGAGTCCGGAAAAGAAAGGAAACATGGTGGAATGAAAGGCTACTTTTGACTCACATTTGGCGGTGCCTTCTGTGTCCTAGGTGCCACCCAAGGCTCACTGTACCCTATACTCTGCGAGACCGTTGTCAGCGTCTCCTGGCCATGCCAAACGTTCTCGGGTCGTTCCTTCTACCCGGGCTCGCCGATTAAACATCACCAGGTTATGGTGGCTCACCTCACCTTCTGGAGTTCGACTCTAGATTCTTCTTCAAGTCTTGAACAAAGAACTGAATGAAATGGGCACAAAGCAGTGGGCAAGTTTATTTGAGAAAGTAAAAGTGAACAGTGGAAGAGAAACTAGCTCTACAGGTCAAGCTTGGGCCACATAAAAGGCGAAAAAGCAATAAGGGACCAATACCCTGGAGAAATCAAGGCAGACCTCCATGATGAAAGTCGCCGTAGGGGCCTC